AAGTTTGGGGTTTTTATCTCAAAATAAAAGTGAAATTATTAATGTCGTCACGGTTATTGTTACACGCAGTCACACACTTACACGCATTATATTTACGTAGGAACGTGTATAGGTATAATTGGTTGGCTGAACAGAGAACGTATAGGTATCCCATAATAATCGTAATTTAATAAACCAAAGTGGAAACAAAATCGCCGTTATTTATAAGCCTGATACACACACACACACACACACACACACACACACACACACACACACACACATAATGCAACTCACATACCTAGTCACATGTGTGTATAGACGCGTATAATTAATTTAAAACAACTTTCCGGAGATTAAATCAACTAATTAACAACAGGATAAATATTAAATATTATGTAATAATAACATGATATTTAAACTAAAATACATTTTACGGTTTTATACTTTGGCCTGGTGGTGTTTAATACCACATAGTTCTGTAGTTTATAGACAAAAGCAGACTTATAAACTTTGAGTCCGACCAACTCAACTATACATTAGGTCGTAGAAGATAATGAGAAAACTTTTAAATTTTCACATTACTGGAATTCATCGTACTAATACTTACTATTATTATGCTCGGCACGCTAAAGTTTACGTGTGAATTTATAAAATATTATTTTGAAAACCTACTTGTTTAACGTCTCTATATACATTTTAATATTTCTCATTATTATCAATAAATAATTAAAATAGTGTTGTATATTTCTTACGGCTTATCTCGCCTGTCAGAATACATCATACCATCTTATAATAGTATAAATTCTTCTGCTTATACCTATGATAACGATATATTATTATTATCATATTATTACGCGTAAAAAAGCTAAAACTCGATTTTAAAATTTGACAACGCGTATAGTGTGTACGTATACATAAACATAATTAAGTGAGTACAGGTTTCAACTGCACACTAATGGCGTACAGTAGTCGGCAGCAATATACGTATTATATCAAATGGTATGTGGTATGCACCGAACATTTTTTTTAATCTAAAACACTCGAATAAAGTTTTAACAGATGACGTTATAGGTAACTACAGTACATTATGTATAGTAATAATAATAAAAACACGTGTGTTTAAGGTTGACTATATTATAACAGTGTTAATGTTGTGTTCGATACAGACACCGCTTATAATATGATGGTTCCCAGTATACTGTACACATCACTGGAGGGCCTAAGCATAATATATATTATATTGTGAACTCTCAGCTAATGATCACTAAAAGCTAATGTGCAACATAATTTAAAATGTACGAAATCAACGGTTGGAACCCTGTGACTCTCCGCAGTTCCTATAACGAACACTTCTGGTTTAGATGTCTCTGTCCGTATAGGTATGCATATTGTGTTACGACATAGTGCATACTAATATAGTCGTCAATTAGTCGCGTTCTTCTTTATTTGACGACTACATCCTCACGTAGTTATTCTTTTTGTATATTTTATTTTATGTGAGTTTGTTTTTTTACGCCGAAACGAAAACGGAATAGTGTATAATAATAAATATACGAATATTGTGTAGGCGGACGACAACAATTCTTATGAGTCGTGTTACGGCCGAGTGAAAAGCGCGCCATTGTCGATATAATATATATTTCCTATATTATTATCATGTGATCGTACACGAGAAGGCCGGAAACGCGACAATTATATTATAGCGGCGGACGTCCCGGTGTGTAATAAAAACATCAAGGTGTGCGTATGTCGTCCTCGCCTAAGCTATTTATTACTTTTTTTCAAACGATTTATATATATATATATGTCTACTTAGATCAGTAAAAAAAAGGCAGATCGGTTTCACTCACGGATCGACGCGGTTTGGACGTGAAACCTACACGTGCCCACAAATCGGTTCAGATTTAAGAATCAAAACTAAAGTAATAATTAACACTAGTTTTAATTTAAACCGTTTATTTTTTACCCTGAATATTGACATATCACATATAAGCTGGAAAATGTGTATGCCGTAACCGTATGCGGATAAATGTATATATTATGTCTGTGGGCGCGAGGACTTGTCAGTATTTCGTTGACGTAATGACGTCCGCATACAGCCATACAGGGTGTTTGTAATACAAATGTCATCAATTAAAATTAACATTTTCAATGAAGTGTCCAAAAAAAGATTTCCAGAATTAATTTTATTTATTTTCTGCAATGTATATTAAAAAAGACTCCGAATTTTTCAACCATATGGTGTTAAAATGTAAAATAGTTATGTGACCCATGGTTTCAAATGAGGATTTGGTAGAATAAAAATCCACCAGATGTGGTTTTTATGTAGTAAAATAACCAGATAAATTGTGCATTAGGTATAGCTACACATTTCAATGAGCTACACAACGATATTTTATCACAATATATAATATAAACAACCAAGTCGATATATTATCACAAATAGGTAATAAAAAAAGTAATCTATGACGGAACATCAAATATCGGCAGTTATCGACAGTTAGAAACTGATAATAATATGTGAAATATCTATCTGCACACGGAAATTTTAGAGAATATCATGGAATATCTATTTTTTAGTTCAAGTCCTTATTAATTTAACAGTAAAATTTTTTAAAAATTTCATGATTAGGAGAGAGAATGCATTTCCAAAAATTTAATTTGTAAGGACAACCTCAATGACTTTATATATGCTTATCATCATAGCGGTGATAATTATATGTGTTGTAGAAACACCCTGTATACGCACGTTTCCAGTGGACCTACCTACATACATATCATATTATTATAATAGTTATTGCATTGTATGTATCTGGCCGAGGGTTATCGGCGATAATAAATTAGGTATCGAGTGAAATCAATTCTCTATAATATGCGCGTGTTTCACAGCAGAAGTCGCATGGAATCTTAAAAACTTCGGATCGAAGAGCACTGTACATATAGTTATATTGTACTTCCACGTTGGGGTGGCATAGTATACTGCAGTGGGAGGGATGAGTGTGGCGGTCGTCTGTTTTGTATGCGCCGTACAAACTTTTCCTCGCGGAAAAACCTAGTAAAACATTTTTATGCGAACGCGTTTACACGCGCGTGCTATAAAGCGTTTGAATACATACACGGTACATACATACATACATACATATATACTATATAATTGTATATATATATATATATTCTAACGAATCATGTATACGAAATCGACTTATCTGCAACACGAGGAACACGCGTTACTTACGGTGCCAAAAAGATCATAAATTCGTTCTCGCTTTCGATATCTGCACTCGTCGATCGGCCACACCTGTTACGTATATATATTGTTATCACATCGTGTGTATAATATATATAGAGGTGCTATAATGTACGCGCGACGACGTATAAACGAGGGTGCGAACAAGGTTTGGTTTAAAAACGAATCGGTCCGTTTAAATGGTTATCCTTTGATGTTGTACCGGATGCGAGTGCTGCCGCTACCTTCGTGTAATAGCCGGTATACATTAAATCAGCCACCGGAGGTTCCTTCACTTATATAATATGTATATACACGGGGTAAAAAAAAAAACCCTCGTTAACGGCTTCCATTTTCACGTCACCATTATATTATATATGTATACATGTACAGCCGACCGCAAATTAGTCAGAAACACACTTTATACATTATACGATTTATCTAGACGCCGGATAGGACTATGAGGTGGTATAACTACTAACGGTGGTGTGGAGGTTGTGCTATTCTCAGCCTGTGGTATTATATATGGTACCTATGACCTACAAATATATTATTATAAAAACGTGTGCAATGCACATGATGCTACGTACGAAACGTGAACATTTAACTAGATAGTATAATATATAGGTAGGAACTAACTAGTAATAACTAAATAATATCTTATTTAATAAAAAAATATTCAGATCAATTTATATTCGTTAGACATTATAAGCGCGTGGGCAAGGTGAAACATATAATTTGGCTGGTTGTTAAAAAAATAATAATAAAATAATGATTTCACGTCATGGAGAAATCAAATAGTATGACGTCTCGACAACGTAGGTGCGAAGCTACGACGCACTGTCGATTTTTCATAACTATAATGGTCAATATTTAACAGTAAATAATCATACACAATCATTAAATCCACGTTTAATACTTGTTGCTCGCAAATGACGTAATTTTTGCAGACAATGATCCAAAGATGTCTTTGATTTGCTAATGGTTCGGTTAGCGCCGACGAGAACGAGGAGCGCCATAGCACACTATATTCAAGTGCGTGGCAGGGGGGGGGGGGTAGAGAGAGACCAAGTGTATTTTGAAATTTTTACCCTATTTTGAAATTTTGTTAAACATTAATGTATTTGTTAGCAATTCAAAAGGGTAATTGTTCCCTATCTCCCCTTGACTATATTAGGCATATAGAACAATACTGGCCCACGCCGTTGAGGTATTTTGCAATAGTAGGTTAGGTTTATAACACAACCATACTATAATATAATTATATCACTTTGAAAAATTGTATCAAAATAATAATATTATCGATTTGGGAAAATTATAGTTATTTTTAACATGAAAACACGTAAGGTAATTATCCCAAACGAACATCATGGCAAAAATAATCAGTTAAGGCTATGACGAACCGAATTTCGTTTTAGAATAATAATTTTCGTCGAGTTCTGTAATGAAAATAAAACCATAAGCAAAATAAAAATATACTATACATATAGACATATAGTATATAATGGTCGTTGTCGTTGTCATTGTGACTATTTATAACACTAATAAGTATTATCCGTTAGGTTTAGACTACCTATTACCCGCCTACTACCCTCACAGATAATGTAATATTGCGTAATTTTTAACATGCAGTTGGCTCGCCATAATAATATTTATACCTGGCAGCAGTAAAAATACCAATAGGGTAAAATAGGTCGTTCAACGTTATGTGTGTATATTGTATAAGTATATATGTAAGCATAACGTGTTTATTATAAATATTATATATATTGTTTTATGATAAATTACTTACGACGTCGCCTTTCGGGCCGTCCAGTCCAATGGGTCCCTGTAAAAATGCGTAACAAACACATAAAAAAGACAAGTTAATAAAATGATTACGCGATTTACAACATATTATTATTTTTGATCAAAATAGTAATAATTATAATAATAACAATACATGACATTGATAAAGACAATGCTGTGAAAAACGCGTTACACGTGTATAACGTCACAACAATAAATTATAACGAATTATCACAATAATAACATGGCGTTTTTATAATATACGTGCACAATATATTATAATAATATGCATGCATACATACGACTCGCGGTGCAGTGTACACAAAATGACGGCGCAATCGTATGCAATAATCATAATAATAATATTATTCACTATATTATAATATACGATATACGCCTTTCAGCCCTTGTTACCTCAGTAATGTTAATGTGTTACACTTAAAGTTTGTGCACGTCGAGCGCATGACAAACGCTAAAGGCCCAAGAGTCGGATCCGCATGCGGTTAATCTGGCGTTAAGCTCATGCACGAGTTAGCTTGGGTGTGTGTGTGTGTGTGTGTGTGTGTGTGTGTGTGTGTGTGTGTGTGTGTAATGATACGGCGATCGAGATATTATGAGGTTTCGATCACGCGTATACGCATAACACGTTTATACAGCAACTGCGACGGCCAACGGTCTGCAGTACGCGTGGGGAGGTGCGTTTCTTCTCGCATGTACATGATGTAATATTATGTAGGTATATATCGTATAGGATTAAACTTCGTGAACGAAGACGTCGTTATCAGCTCATTGCTGCGTGCGAGAAACCCACGCACGAGACGCTGAATAATATGGTTTGAAGCTCGTGAGATATACAGAGCGATTTTTTGATCGAAAATCGAGCAATATCCTAGAGAATTCGAGGAATTTGTAAAAAAAAAGTTCTATATCTCGAGAAAAATTAATAATACTGCAGAATATCGAATAACGGTTTGTTATCGAACGTTATAAAAATCCTTTACATTTCACACTTAGTCCGCGATACAAGAATTACCCTGCAAAATATATATTTTATTTTTATACGCGCGTATTTCATTCGAGAGTGTCTGCACCATGTGCAGTATAGGTATAGGGTACTGAACTGCACTGCACGTACGCTGCAATAGCGCGTATTATTTTAATATTATATCGCTCGCTGTTACGCCCATGCACGACGCGCGTGCCGGTCGAATAAAATATAACTACGGACGGAGGAAAAAAAAAATAATAATAAATGGAATAAAAACACCGACTTGACTACCGCTCTGTGTACCATGTGCTCACCTACGTCAATAATAAATTATAATACGGCTGGTCGCAAATGCGCTGTGAGACGTCGCGTTTATATATAATATTATTATACTCATTATATTACTGTATACTGTTATTTCCTGCATCATGATCTTTACTCTGCAGTGGCCTGGATGTACTACTGTGCGCGAAACGAAAACGAGTATTATGCACCCAAATTATGGCGTATCGCGCGCAAATATTACACGCCACTGTGATTTACTCGGAAAAAATTGCTTAAATCCTATAAGGTCGTTTATTTGTCACGTCCCCCGCGGCCAACCCTGCGGTATATTATTGTTATCGACTGGGGTCGGCACCGCGGGTACGCGATCGCCATGCCCTCGCCCTCATACACCCACAAACCCACCATTCTCGTGACCATACAATAGAATGAACAGTTTTCGGAAAGATTACGAGTACAGCGATAAAGACAGTCCACGACCACTTCATAGAAAACGATGCATGTGCGAAAAACGAATGAATCTTATAATGCGTATTGGTGCAGTGGTATATTATTGAGTGTAGTATGTTCGGGGGAACGTATACACGCCAATTCACAAATAAACTTTGTAAGTTAGAAGAGTGGGAAAACCTTGCGGAACGTCAGAACCCGGCTGTCTGCCTTATAAACAAAAAAACATTTTAAATTAATTTGTAGCTGTGACTTGTGATGGGCTGCATTACCGACATAATGTACTTTCTCTTTTTTTCTGTTCACTCATTAAAATTGGGGCTCAAATGCTGCTAAATTATACCTGTATACTCTCTTTAACTGTGATGGTGCCTCACGTGACTTACATAATCAATTTCCCTGCGCTTTCCTCTATCAGACCAAATTAAAAAAAATTATTTTCATTTATCGTTTACGACTTCCCCTATGTTGATGCTATTTTCTTAAAGAATATCGTATTTATTAAAGTCGTCCTACATCTCATTTTTTACATAGAAAATGTAAGATTTAAAACATATTTTATGGTTTTTACATAGCCTTTTCATTTAATCAATTTTTTATTTTATTTTTATGATTGAAATATAATAATTTATGTTAATATTTCTTTAAAAAAATATATCTGAACAGGATAACAAAGACACGATAAAGAATGTTTTTTAGTTTTTAAACCGTTGATATTAATATATTAGTATCTGTGGATAATACCACAATACCTAGTAATAGTAATTTTACTGCATTCTTTGGTCTTATTATGAAAATACATGGTTAAAAATCAAAGTATGAGAAGAAGATACCTGGTACACGGAGGAGTGAAATACGATGCAAGTCTTGAACAAATCTGTTCAGTTCCCGTTCTTTGTTGTTTTATATTATTTCAACGTGTAATTGGACTGTCGGAAAACTATTCGGTTAACAGGGTTTCAAAACTATCCTTATATAATATTATTATACGGATTACGAACGGACCTCTCTGAACGTTTATCGTTCGAACCGAGCAACGATAAAATATACAAAGCATTACATAATAGCCATGACACGCGACTTCCAAACACGAACTGATCGTTGCAAGTGTTACTAAGCGTCCATGTGGTATAATATTAAAGATTCGCAATAATACGTAGAAATGTATGTTATAATATATAATTTTTATTTTACTTATTTTACACTAGATTTTTATACAGCACGAGTGGTTTTATCTGAAATAACAATAACCGAAGGCAGCAAGGCTTGCGCAACTATTACAACAAGGTTGGTTTTTGGATGATACGTCCAAGAAACGAATTTAAAATTAATGAGAAACGAATTTAAAACGAATGAGGAACGTGGAACCACGCGATGGTCAAAAATTAAAGTTAACTCAATTATTGTGATGTATTAAACTGGCGAATTTAATCGGAAGCAATACAGCACAATTAAACCCTGTCAATATTTAAATAACACCGAAATAATTATTAAAATCCACAAGAAAATTAAATACCTACGTAGTAAAATTTAAATACATTTGAACAGTGTTTCGGTTATGGTATGCTCTTTATAGATTTCTAATTTTCATCTCCGGGCTGTCCAAAGCAGTAAACATATTATATTATTACCTACGGAATGAATGAACATTTAATCGAAACCGGAAAGTCTTCTTTTCAAAATATTCCGTCGTGTATTATTTTCTGCCGCCGTCGTGACCACGGATAGCTAGAGATTGGAAACATATTTTCGTAATTTTCCTCATGAACGTCACATAACTCTGTCGGTAAGAAACCACATACTTAATAATTGAAAAGTTAAAGTTCATGCTAAAAATCAGAAAATATTTGAAACACTTCGAAAATGTTTTAATAAAATTATATATTTATATCGTACGCACGCAGTGAGTTGTAACTTGTAAGTAAGTATAGCGTCTATAGCAGGCGAATAATAGTACTATATAATATGCCTATAAACCAGTGGAAGAGGGTGGGGTGATGAGGGTAAATTGCTCCCCTCCCTCCAGGGAGTTGGACCTTGGTTTATTTTTATGATTTAATATATGGTATATATAGGTATATAATAAATAAACGTGTTCTTCGATCAACCCCCCCCCCACACCACAAATTGCTGATGGTCATAGTTTCCGATGGTTAAGATCAATTAAAAAAAAAAAAATTATAAAATACAAAATATAAAATGGTATAACATAAAAAATAAAAATTTATATTATAACCACCTAAATATTATAAAAAATTGAAGGTCTTGATTAATATTTGAGGCAACTGGGAAAAAATTTTAATGAGGCCCACCCTTCACTACCGAACTGTATATACTCCACTGATTTATAATATATACATACAATATCATGGAGAGTATAATATTATGCCTATTACAATCTAAAAATAATCTCTTGGTCCGGGTCCGATTTGGGAGTTATTAAGTATATAAAATAGTAAAAATTATATTATTTTTTCATGCTACACATGCACGCGTTTAAAAGAGAGTAAAGAATTTTGGAAACGATAAGTTTGCGTAGGTAGCTAAAGTTTTACATTTTTTATGACCTGACCGCGTATAGGTTAGGTCACCAACGTCACAATCAATACGCCGTGTCTTACGCAGTTCAAAACAGACAGATTAATACATTATGGAGTTTGCGAAATGCAGTCTTGAGATGACAGATTCAAGCAACAACGTCCACAAATCGATTGTTAAAAATCGTTTCGACTGAACCTTGGGCTACATAATAATCCAAACTAAATCAAATTCTCTCAATAAATAAGGAGCACTTTGGTCTTTGACTGAGTAATAAACTGTTTTGTTTTTTCGACATCAGTGCGGTAATACAAGCAAATATATGATTGTTTTAAAATCAATTTTTTTCATGTTTTTTGAACTTAAATTACTTTTTTCGTATAAATGATAAAAAACATATTGCAAAGTCAAAGTTTTCCTTTGTATGGTAAAAATGTGGTTTCTTATCTAGAGTTTTGATTCTCTTTAGTAGCTAGGTTACCTAACCTATAACCATTGTTTTTATACAATTTTGTAAAACTGCACAACGACCAACAATTAGAAATAGTGGATAATTTATAACAGTTCCTTTCAAAAAGCATAAAAATAAATTGTTTTTTTTTTTTAAATTTAATTAAAATTACCCATATCAAATCCTCTTTAAAAGCTGGTGTGTGTGGCTTAACAATTGTATAAGTTATGTTATTTTTGTTAAAATAGTTTACCGACACCAAATCTATAGATGTAAGACGTAAGTATATTAATTAAATCCATTAATTTAGTTAGCGGAGAGAAGACGCGTAAATATTAATATTGTTATATATGGCGCAAAACAATTTACAAGATAAACTCTCATTTGGAGGCGGTTATCTTACCGTCGAGCCTCTGGTCCCTCTTATTCCTTTCGGGCCCTATAATAGGAAAATAATAAAACATAACAACAAAAAATAACAATTAAAACAATAAAAAAACCGAATAATATACCGTATATTATTATGACAAAATCAATCAGTCGATGAGTAAACGGACTAAATACTAGTATATTATTATACGTGGATACGGGGCGGGAAAAGTCAAATTTTTAAATAGTTTTTCACGCCATACGTAAGTATTGGATGTGACATTATACTTGAAAATAACAAAAGAATAATATTATAATAAGAGCTGGAAAGTTTTTCGTTTTTCATTTATTACCTATTGAAATATTATGTTGCATATAGTTAACTAACACCGAAAAACTAAGAAATCGCGCAGGGTTCCACTCTATAATATACATAATATTATGTAATACATAGAAACTGTGAACGTCGTATTAATTGTATATATTATATTATAATACATATGAACCTGTCAAAAATTGATGCATAGTGCTGATTGGGTGGGCCGAGTGCATGAGTCGAAAATAATAAACGGAATATCTACGAAAAAATAGACGTTGCCAAAAAGACATGTCGAAATACATGAAAAATAAAATATAAGCTAAAAGCTGTTTTATACGTGTTGTTTGTTGGATTCGATGCGTGCGTGCGTGCTGAGTGTATGGTTGTGTGTGTGTGTTTGTGATTTTTGGGCCAAAAAAAATGAAAGAAAAAAATAGTCGTGTTGACAAGCATGATTGTCGTTTGAGCGTGATTGAAAATTATGTGTGCCAAAACAAATAATATTAATAATTATATGATAATATTATATGCAGTAATATGATGTGTAATATATGATAAAATAAAATTAATAATAATATATAAAAATGCTTTAAATATAATAATTTGACTTGAATAAATACCGGAAAACCATTTTTCCCAGGCGGACCTGCCGGGCCCTGTAAAACATATATTTCTATGTTGCTTTCATGTAGTTTAATAAGTTGTAAACAACGAAAACAACGACAATAACAATTATAATAAAAAAAAAATTATATTATTACAACAGTGGAAATTGTTTTTAACAGCAGGACCAATTTCGGTAACAGCAGTATAATCTTTTAAAACCTTATTTAAATATTATTATTATTAATATGGAGACCCCGCTATAACTATAACTATAACTATCTTTAAAATTTGTAGACTTGTTAATTTGTAAGTCAAGTTCCTAATTATCTTTATTTCTCGCTCACTCCTATTTTTCTTTTTCAGTTTCTTTCTCTATTTCTTTACCCATGTTTCGATTTATGTTAGCACTAACCAACAACTGACATTCACTACGAGTAGTTTCTATTACATCGTAATGCGAAGCTACTTTTAGCAGCCGAGGTTGGTGTCACGTAAATAAAATTCATATGAAAATTATGTAAGTAAGATAAAAAATGATGTTTAGTAGATGTTTTGAATCCAAAGCGCATATCTTTAAAACGTTTAATTTGTTCGCATTATTCATCGAAATAAGACATCGGAAGCATACAGCGTGGTCTAATATTCTAGTCACTATCAAGCTTGGTGTCACAAACATATTTTGTTAACAATATTTGATATATTATAACATAGTTATAATTGTTATAAATAGTTTTGATAACAGAGTTTCCAGTTAGAGAAAATTAAATTAATTTACATGTTTCACGAATTATTTTCGAAGCTGGTGTCAGATCAGAACGCAATTTGAAAATAATAACACTATAATGTTATAAATATTAATGGTGATTTAGCTTGACATTTATGTCAACGAGTACCTATACTCACGACGACCAAGTAAAAATTATGTATAAAAGAATTCCAAAAACCTTTTAAATTATAATTTTGTCTTTAAAAAGTTCCTTTTATAAAAAATATTAATGCAATTATTTACTTCGTGAAAAAAATCACAATTATTATTTTAATCATTAGTGAGGATAGTAAATACACCATGATTTATACGCAATGCTGTTAAATACAGTGACACGATAAAAAAAAGAAAAATATTACAGTAATAATTGGTATATTATTTTTCTCGGCATTTGAACTTTACATTTAAAAAAATTATGCACAATAACGTTTGAAATTGTTTATTCATTTTGAGAATCATGGCATTGTACTGGAAACTTTTTATAAAACACACGTACAATGTAAACATATATAATAATGTTTGATAATTGACGCGGTCCTCCGTATTCCAATATATATAATCGAAGAATTTGAAGAAAAAAAAACCCACCTAAGCCAGTGAAGCGTTATATTTTATTCATTATATTGGACCGAAATAGTAATCTTCCTTACTAACTACTTTGTACTCGATAAGGTCAATCAAACACACTCGTTTCAATATATTACTATACATATGTATTATAATAACAAGCTTTGTGAACGTGAAGTATAATAATGTAGTGGTTTTGTGCTGACTCATACATTATGTACTGTGCTGTACGCAGGTACATAATGTTTACACAACCTCTTCTCTCGTGTGATAATTACAATAATAATATAATGTCCAACACATTAACTATGGCGGTTTAAAATTTGTAGACACAAAAAAAAAACAAAATCAAAAGATAATTTGGTCTCCGGGTGATTAAAATTAAACACATTATTGCATTGTTTGAAATGTGTTTAAGCCATTAACTCGGCGACTTAAAATCCCATCAGTGGCACGGTGCCACTCAACGGCGGCGGCGTCGCACTATTTTTACGACAACGCGCGCGCCGACCGTTCCGGACCGCGGATCCCTAAATAATGTGAACTGCAACCCGAAATCGTCGTCATGGTCATCCGGCCGTTATAATCAATTTCCTCCGTTCAAAACGAAACCCCTGTCTAGGTTTTCGGTTTCGGTGTAATATTTTACAACGCGATATTTTATTGAAATATTATGTCCGTTGTTTGGGTCGTTTCGGTACGAGCATTGCATATATCACTCACCGCTGGTCCAGGATCACCGGTGTCGCCTTTCTTCCCTCGTTTGCCCCGTTTGCCGGGAGGCCCTGAAACGCGTTTAACAACCGATTAGTATAATATTGTATACGTATAATTATTAATTAATATTATCTAATGCGGATGGGTCGACTGGTATAGATGATGTATAGTGTATTATTATATAATTGTGGGTACGACAAAATGCAGCAGTAGGTATATTATTATGTGAGCACGTTTCAATAACCACGAGCACTTCGGTCGGCCAACTACCTCAGGATATTAGGATTCGAAGTATAATGGTCGAGAATGATGTACACAATATAATGTTACATAGCACTGCTACCGAAGTCTCCGGATTGCCTCGATACGACCGCCGGACCGGATAGTGATGTGAGGAGGGTTCGGAGGGGAAAAAATTGCGCCGGGGGTGACGTGCTAGTGGTCTTTCGTTGTCGACGTCCGTCGCGCTGCAGTGATGAATGGTAAATATATGGTAATCCGAATATATATATATATATATATATGTGTGTGTGTATATGTATATCAGTATATGTATAGGAGGAGTCGGTAGCAAATGATCAATGACGCCCGACATTAACAGTCACATCTCAGTCTCCTCCTGCTCCTCCTCATCCCACCCCGAACGAACAAAGGACCATTAAACTACGTCTTCGCTCTATTTCTTATATACGTATATACAAAATGCACGTGAACATGCGATTCGTTTTGGAGAAGAAGAATCTCCGGCGACGAGGGTGCAAAAAAGTTTAACCGATTATAATTTTTTTTTTGCGCCTACTTCCTGCCGTCTTTTTTTCTCTCGTCGGATAATTTGTCATCCCGGAATGTTATAAACACCGTCTGTTTATGAAAAATAAAATAGATTACTACGCACCGACCGGAAACCGTCGATATTGTTGCACGTCCGAGTGCGTTAGCCCCGCGGCTGTCATATTTTTGAATTGTGAAACGATTTCCCTATGCCTATTAAACAGTGTAGTATACATAATATGTATGATATAATATATATATATATATATAAATATACTACGCGCAACACGTTTCTCTAGAATACACACGATTTATTACACTATATTCAAACCATAAACAGAAATCTCATGGAACCAACACTACCTAACTACTAAATAGTAAATACTAACACACAGACTAATAATTATTATATCATAAACTAGACTGCAATATCCAGGGTTATAAAATATTAAAGAAAATATTTTTTCGAGTTTATTAACATACTATTTCACATTGTATTGTAAATAGTAAATACTATCGGTACCAACATGTTCTTGAAATAAAAAAAAGTACATTAATTCGTTGTATTTTGTAAATATTGTCTGGCTGGCTCACGATAAGAGAATCATTTCGGATACTAAGTGTTCAATGCGTGTTTATGTATTACATTATAATTCAATTATTTTTCAAAGTCGACATTTCTAGATTTACGATCTCTCGCCGATAGTTCTGATGTACCTGTAACCACGGTGTAAAAACAAAAATATTACGTTTGACAGGTATTACAAGTCTGTATATTATTGTGATGTATGCTCACGCCGGGTGGTCAAAAGTTTAAAGAGCCTTTCCATAAAAAAAAAAAACATAAGTATTAAGTATAATATACATAATAAAATATTATATATTATGTATAATTTATATGCCTTCATAGTATACACGTATAATAAATGCAAGTGTGTATAAGAATATGTCATGAACATATATGTATGTATTCACACATTTAACCCTTGATATGGTCATAGATCTAGTCGATCACGTACCAGATGTTTACCTGTCATTATACAATGAATTGACCGCCGAGCACGGTGTGTATGCGCAGAGAGAGAAGTCATCTTACCAGCTCGCTAATGCATTTTGTTGTAGTCAAACCGTTATGATATGTATTTATTATATATAGGCACTCAATATAGCTAGATCTGAACACGGTCAACATGTGTTTTACTAAAAGCATTTCCGTTTATGACCGCAACACATTTCCATAGAGTTTTAGTTTATCTTAGGTGTTTTTGGCATTAAAACCATTTTCTACAAACACATATTCGGCGTAAAGGTTATACATATTATATAGACGAGGCACCGTGCGTAGTTGCGGTGTATGTATGTAAACTGCCGTTACCCTCGGGGCTTTTAAATTGGGACTGTTAAACGATCGGAGAGTACTGAGTAGGGATATGCGATTAACTCGTTTGGGAGGGGGGTGGAGAATATATACGTATACATACAAAAGCAATTTAAACTCTTCGCTAGAAATACCACCCCATAGCATCGTGTTGTTGGCGCATAATCGAAAGCACATTTTAATGAACAACCAAAGTGCTCGAGGGTACCAGATTTTCCATCGATTTTGGGCAAATAATAACAACATCATCTTCTCTCAATCTGCAGCTGGTCCTTTGGAAATTTAATATTCTTTTACCGGTTAATACGTAAATACATTATTTTTATCTACACGATTTCGATATATTGAGTTTCAATATTTACCACACCAAGTGGATAACTCGCGTAATGTTATTTCAACGTCGTGGAAAAATGGGAAAATGCCACAGTACATCCTTTATACTATATACGCGCGTATATAGATAAGAATGTTTCAAAGACAAAGAGTTTTTTTTATACGAAAGAATGTTTCTCGGTCAATAAATGAAATTACTTACAGACTCAGTTATTTCGTTGATAGACGACTTGAAAAGTAATCTTTCATAAAAAAAAAAAAATAAATAAATGAGAATTACAGACATTTTCTCGTTTAAGGGATCTTTTTTATCCAGCGGCTTATAAAAACACAAGGTTTGGGGCGGTCGTTGGTAATTCGACCTTGCTGACGACTGATCCAGGCTATCCCACCACGTATAGTTATATATTATACTCGCCACTAATCTCGATACAATGTGTACCTATACCGGTGTTATCGTTGCCACAATCTCTGTGGGGAGACCGCAGCATATACGTCCATCACGATCGTTTCACATTAGTCACGGTCCGCGATAAGAGGGGTGGAAATGATGTGAAATAGGATTTCTTTTTACGCCTCGCTAAGGTCAATACACGTATTACTGAGAAATCTAATATATATATATATATATACGAAACCGAGAAAAGGGACATTACCTGAGCTTTACGTAAAAGTTGGTTTATTTTACACCCGCGACGCAGCCGCCGCCGATAGGGGTAAGAAAAAAAAATACATATTATATAATATAAATTGTCACACTGGAGAGAAAAGAATAAAAGGTACAAAATACGATATAATTGAGTTGTTCGTATAATACGAGCTCGCTCCACGCCGCTGTTAAGAGTAAACAGACGCGAACAAGGGGTCTTTGCATTGAATTTATAGCTCTTATATACCTATGTATGCTGTTTTTGTCCGCGTTCCACTTGTACAATATTACATTGTTCAGGCAGTAAAAGTAAATATAAATAACGTATTTTTGAAAAAGAAAATAATACATGGACCAAGGATGAAGGTAAAATATAATATTTAAACCACGTGGGCGGGGAGGATGTGACGGTAAAATAAGCATATTTTTCGAGTTATCGTGGGCGTATTGAAGTCTCCGTGTGCATTATTATGATCACCCCGTTCAGTCGTGTGACCACATCAGCTCCATAATTATATTTTTATTCGTATACACTATAATGTAATGTATTATATGTTACGGACAATGTAAAAAATCCGATCATTTTATACATTGCCCAAGCATTTTTTATGAGTATGATCAATAAAATGTTTTCAACATTTTCTATATTGACCTGGCGATTATTAATAGACTGAAAAATGTATCGTGGGTACCGCAAAATTTCAAAAATATAATCATAAACCTATTATAAGTATTTGTGCAAATAAATTAAATGTTGAGTCGAGCTAAAATTAAAAATCTTTAATAAAGTATAAAACCATTTTTTTTAAGCTTTTAATTTAAAAATAATATAAATAATGATTATACAACCATTTTTGCCAGCTACAGTCACCTTTGAATAAAACTCGAAACATAACTTCATATTTTATATTACCCGAGACATACGTCTAAATATCTGCAAAATGTCTAGTAATATTATAAGATGCCCAATTTTCTACTTTGCCTGTAACATATTATACGTACTCCACATTGTTTGAACAAAGTCTGCTGTTGACAAGCTTCCAACATATTATACACCTAACATAATAATATGTTAAAGGTAATAATATTACCAATCTCTACAAAATGATTCTCAAGCACATACGCATCGCAAGTTGAGCATTGATTCAGAACGGGAAAAATTCTCGATAGATTTAAAATCTAATTATTATTGGCAGTAAAAATACCCAAAATAAAATCTAAACAAAATTAATTTAGACTGTTATGGAACACAATTCACGATATTTCGAGTAAAATGTTATGAGATAAAATAATATATATGCTATAAGTAAAACTATTATTTTATTAATAATTATACCTATAATTATTCAAATTGATAAATAACAGAAAAAAGATTAATTCACATTTAAATAATACGAATTACGATCATTTATAATAATGATGTCGTCCCGTAGGCCATAAAGCATGTGGTTTTCGCCCAAGGTAAAAACTGATATATAGGTACATGTAATTAAAATAACATCGCAAAACCCATAAATTATGACAGTAGGTAGGTACATCAATAATATATCGATTCATGTTAGTATAATGTCTATTATAGCAGACATGACTGCGTGTAAGGTGGAACGCCGCTATACGAAATATTTAGATCATAATTCGACACAATAAACAACAACAAAAATATTATCATATCATAACCACCACCGCAATCAGTTGTTAGTCTTTTCGTGGTTTTCACATCATGCAACGCAGTGCCCACTGATATAAGCCGGGTGGGTGATTTCCCATTTTCTCGTGGTACTTTGATCAAACGAGAAAACTGGAACACACGGTGGTCTATTTGTTATTAAAATACCATTATCTACGACGCTGCAGCAGCAGCCTGCATTGCGCGTTGCACGGTGAACGACTATACTTATTATAATACGCGCGCCGTATTATGTCATTAAATGTATGTATAT